ACTCAGGGAGAAAAACGTTTTTCTCCCTGAGTCTGGCCTTCATAATTCCATTCCAGCACACATGGGCAATTTTGAGTGGCCCAAGGATGGTACACATACCACCTTTGCTGCAGGACTGCATTGGGTGCCAGTTTGCTTCCGGGTCCAGTTCAAGGTGTTGGTTATCACCTTTAAAGCCCACCCGTTCAGGCAGAGAAGGTATGTTATGGACCCCATCTATGAAAGAATGTTGACTGGTGGGGCCCAGGAGGAGACCCTTCTCTGCTGTTTCCCCCACCCTATGGAATACTTTTCCTCCAGAGGTGAGGCAAGTCCCCACTCTCTTGGCCTTCTAGAAAGGGGTGAAATCCTGGCTCTGCCAACTTGCGTGGGGCGAGAAGGAATATAACCAACCCTGGCAGTGGCTGGTGCCTTGAAGATGCTCCCTGAGTCTAATAATTCCTAGGTAATACCAGTGTTTGGAAGATATTCAATATTTATATAGGAAATCTTGTTTTAATGTATTTTAATTAATATTTATTCTGTTTTAATAAATATTTATTGTTTTTACTGTAAACTGCCCAGAGTTGCTCCCCAGTGAGATGGGCAGTGACAAATTTGAAATATAAATAAATATAAATAAATAAAAATTCCCCTTCCCGAAAGATACTTTCCAGGAAAACAAAACTCTCAGCTCAGCCACAAAACTCTTAGAAGGCCAAGAAGTGCTGAGAGGTTGGGAGAAGATCCCAGGAGGTGACCCTACACTTTGGGAACAGCTCCATAAACCCCAGAAGAGTCACTTTCTAGTAAGAAATGCTATTCACAAAATACTCCCTTTATATTTTTTCAACTCTACCATTATCTTTGTAGTTCTACCCCATTGTCTCATACTTGCAGTCCAGCTCCCTCAGTGACCTCACTAGATATATGATGTGAAATGTCCAATCAAATACTTTGTTTTCTACACCCAAATACTCTCCCCATCTAGCCAATTACATGCATTCTCTAATTTGCACCAGTCTATTAAAAGGGACTGTAACCCCTTCCTTCCTTAGGCCCATCTTTTCTCCAGCACTGTCAATACACCAATTTGTGCTGTGACAAAAGTGTGTCCCAGTCTCCAGTTCCAGTGTATCCTTGGGAAAATTCTCTGACACTCACCCAAAGCATTCATACCCTCTGCACACTTTTCTATACACCCAAGAGCAAACAGAAAAGGAGAAATCATATTTATTAAAAAATGATGGTCTATTTCTCTCATGATGTGAAAAAACAGGAGTTGGTGTTTTGTTTTTCTTTTTTTTTAAGGTTATAAAATGATCGATGGCTGTTGGAATTATTAGCTGACATGTTTGGAAAATATTTCACCCCAAACCCACTTTTCTGTTATTTTGACATCAAATATTCTTTTGTATTGAGATCTGGCCTTAACAGAATGATGAAGCACTTGGGGATGAAGATGCAGCCCAGCAGGCCAGCACTGGAGGCCAAGATGGAGAAGACCTGCACAGCTATCATGTACTTCCCCTTGGTGCTCAAGTAAGTGGGCACAAAGGAGACCCAGACACTGCAAAAGACCAACATACTGAAGGTGATCAGCTTGGCTTCATTGAAGGCCCCAGGGAGGCTCCTGGCCAGAAAAGCCACCGTGAAGCAGATGGTGGCCAGGAAGCCCATGTAACCCAGGGCTCCATAAAACATGGTGACAGAACCTTCATTGCATTGCAGAACAATCTCTCCAGGTTGTGAGTGCAGGTCAGAATCAGGGAATGGGGGAGAAGTGCCCAACCAGATGCTGCAGAGGACAACTTGGAGACCAGAACAAGAAAGGATGATGGAGTTGGCCAGGCTCTTCCCCAGCCATCTCTGCACTTTATTCCCTGGTTTTGTGGCCAAAAAGGCTAACACCACTGTGACAGTTTTGGCCAAGACAGAAGAGACAGCGAGTGAGAAAACAGTGCTGAATGCTACTTGTTGGAGAAGGCAGGTGGCTCTCCTTGGCCGACCAATGAACAGGAAAGAGGTCAAGAAGGAAAGCAGGAGGGAGACAAGGAGGACGTAGGAGAGATCCCGATTATTGGCTTTGACAATTGGAGTTTCTTGGAATTTAATGAAGATTCCCAAAATTATGCCTATAATTAAAGAGAAGAACAAGGCAAGGGAAGCCAGAGTGATCCCCAGATTTTCTTGATAGGATAGGAATGTTTTAATCTTGGGGATGCAGTGATCTCGCTGGATGTTTGGATGCTGATCCTCTGGACATTTGGTGCATTTTTCTGCATCTGAAAGAGCAAGAAGAAGATCTCCCATAAAGCATGCACTTTAATCAAATGCATAGTTTGGGGAAAGTTAGGGATTTGTGACTTGAGGATACTTTAATTTGGGTTCCTGAAACAAGCAAGTAGTTGGACTCATGGGCTCCATGATCCCTTCCATTTCTGATTCTTCTGAAAGGGAATCTTTATCTCTAATGAACTCAGCCACCTGTGTCTCATGTAGAAAAGTGGTTGTTTAAACCAGTTTTAAAAATTAAGTTCAAGATTTGGTCCTGGAGATGGGCAGGGTTTCTGTTTGGTCACTGGTTACCCTGATTGATAGATTCCCCTCTTTCTTTGCCCCTCCCACTCATGCCTGGACATCAAGGACCAGTTGCTTCCCTTTCTTTGGATATGCCATT